GAAGATGAGACACACTTATCTCTCTCTGATGGGGCTGAAACATGTACCGAGGGGCAAGAAACAAGGGAGGGAGGCTGGAAGTCACAGGTTGTTTGAGGGCTCAACAATAAAATGCAGACTTCAAAAAAGGAGGGTTTGAGTGAGACCGAGAGACACAGATGGGCAGGAAGAGAGGGGGAGAGGGTGACAGAGAGAAGGAGGGAAAGCTGTCTGTTCCCCCCCGCCTTTGCTCCCTGCCTCCTCGGCTGTGATGGCATTGCTGTGCTCTGGTGAAGAGAGATTACCAAAGCCCAGCCTGAGGCTGCATGTATGGACACACTCATTACTTCTCCCCTTCTAACAAATGGCACTGCTGTCTGAATGCAAACCAGTGGCTGTTTGATACCTCTCGTGCCACAGAGGTGCTGAGCTTTGATTTATCAGGAAAGATGTAAAATGTAATAAATGTGCAATATCTTTACAGGCCTGTTTATTGTATTATATAATTTTGTTTATTCCATATCGACCATTGCTGCCTTACAACTCCAGGCAATGTAGCTAGAAATAAATCTTCTGACAAGGCAATTTATTTTTTTGTGAGCAAATACAGTATTTATTCAATTATGGGTAGGGCGCGTATTCTGCTTGGCCAGTTCATAGGATAATACTTACAGTTTGTTTCTGCGTGTCACTGTGCTGGTGTCACAAGAACAATCTGTGCATTGGCGTCCAGCCACGCAGAGCATGGGGTTAGATTCCGGTCTGTTGGAACCCGCTAGTGTTTCCGCAGTCACTATAGCGATTGTTGCAAACGGCTGAATAGAGCTCACTGATGTCAAGATACACTTAGAAGCTAATCATGCAGCAAATAGAGGCACAGGGGTTCCTGCACCAGGAACTGTTTGGCTGCCCTCTCTCCAGTTACAGCCATTCATGGGAAACATTTCAGCTCTGCCACTCACAGTTTGTTTGCAGCTATGTTTTTGAGAGCTGCTCTTGGATTAATGGACCAAACCCAGTCTGGACAAGGCTCTAGTTTTCTGTGCCTAATTTTTGACACTGATGGCACCTACTCAGTGCTGCCATTGGCCAAGTATGTTACACACACAAGGACTTTGTCTTTGGTACAGAACCGAGGCAGCCATCTGTGCCAACTCACACACACACACCAATGGCAGCGCCGACCTGGCCATCAGGAGCAACCTGGGGTTCATCGTCTGCCCATGAACACTTCGACATGTGGACTGGGGGGAACAGGAATCAGACAGCCTGGTTAGGGGATAACTAACTGCTCTACCTCCTGAGTAGGGAGCAGCTCTGAGTTTGAGACATGGCCTTTGTATTTTGCCTGGGTTTTTGTTTAAGAACCCATGGACTGTCATAGACCTCTGTTTTTGTAGAGACAGCCTGTCTTCATATCTGCAGACTTCTCTTTTCTCCAATGGCAAGGATAGATGGATGCTAAATGGAACTGAGGGTCATGTTGCAACATATGCCACCTATTTTTCTTCAAATAATGTTTCTTTTTGTATCATGCCTTTAAGAGAAAAAAGAAAGAGAGAGCTGGATCTGCAATAACTGCTCTAAGCTTATCAGAATCATCACCTTCACATTAGCAGAGCAGGACAATTAAAGCACAGGCATTACAGTTTCTCACCTTTTTTAGAGCTGCCCGTGGTGCTCGCAGGCTGCTGTACATGAAAATGCAATGGAAAGGCCAAGGCTCTCTAATTAACTTCACCTGGCATTCCCACTTACTGTGAACGTGTCTGACCTTTACACAACCTCGCTTAGTCACCCCTCCTCTTAAACACCCAGGTTGAAATTCTCATTTAATGTCAGTAAGGAGATTACCACCCTTCCCCCACCTCCCACCCCATCTTCTTTTTTTCTTAACCTTCTTTAGACTTCAGCAACAGATTTCTATGCAGGGTGGCCACAGCTCTTTGTGGTGGTAAATCAATAAAACAGTGTCTCCTATAACAGACCTCTGTGCTTTCCGTCCATCGATCCTGTCAGCCCAGATACATTCAAGAAAAAGCGAGGTAATTACCTTCAGCACTTCTAACGTTGATTTATAGCGCAGATGACAGGTGCCAGGCATCAGCTGTGGGTAATTGTGATAGTAAAAGAGGGTGTCATTAATCTTTCTTTCTTGGGCTGAATTCAGTTGCCCATGATCGGTTCATGGTAATTGAAGTTGTTGTTGATTGCTTCAAGGCATCATCATCACCTTTTCACCTTGTTGCCAATAGAGCATAGACCGTGTTGTCAGGTGTGATGTATGTCTCATGTGTAAGAGCTTCAAAGGTATTGATGAAATAAGAATTCCAAGCAGAATCAAGTGTGAGGGAGAAAGTGGGCAATTCCCTAATGTGGAAGGATTAAGAGCAATAAGGCTCTACTCATTCCAAGTTAATTATTTACAGAGATTCAAAAATGTTAATAAAATATCCATTCGCACTTCCTTATTATCTCTCTATTATCAGCTTCACTGAAGACATTCAAATCTGCAGCAGTTTGTTGAAACGATTGCTTATTTAGTTAGCTGTCTCACTTCTGGGAGTCAATTATGCAAACGTGAAAGTAGAAAAGTTGCATTTTGTTGCTTGTAATCTACTGATAAAGACATAATTAAGTTGTTAAGTTGACTTCAATTCATTTATTTCATACAGCACTCCACTTAATTTATAGTCCATTAGCTCCCAGAAAGAACAAAAAGCACAAAGATGGTAGGTTATAATCAATGTCAGTTAGTTGGCATCTCCTTTATGTTAGAATTTCATCAGCTTTAATCCTAGCACCTTGGCATTTTGTTACCTGAGGCTCAGAGTTGTAATTATAAACGCACAGGCTGATAATGTGAATGTTTGTACTGCAATGAGGTGTAGATTCCTGGAGAATAAGGAGTAGAGAAATTAACGGGGTGCCAAGCCTATGTCCCAAGCCTGGGACACAGTAGAAAGACATTACCATCTTAAGTGGATCCCTGTGGCGAAAAGCTCCACAGAGACAAATGTTCAAGCAGCTGTCTGTTCCAGCTGGGGAGGCAACAGGAGATGATTCAACAAACCTATAACACCTTTTGACTCCATCCTATTACTACATGAGCTCAGCTGAAATAGAATCCCTATCAAATGTTCAAAATAAAGAACAGTCTTTTAAATGCAAATCACTGTCGCTGTTGCTTTTCCGCCACTTTGCTGTACTCCCTATTTGGCCCAATACACTCAATTTAGGCAGCACTGAAGTGATTTAACTTGTGACACTGCTGCAATGTTCCCACGCCTGAATTTGTTTAATTGCATCGCTGATTTTGTTATTGGTAAGTTCTTTCTTTTATTTATTTAACTTTTTTGGTGACTTGAAACATATAGAGTTTTCTTGAGCTCGACCTTGTCCTCTGCACCTCAATTTGTCAGCTTTGTGCAGTTGACCCCCTTTGAGTTGTGGGTCAAAGCTATAACTCACACCCTGTGAGTTGAAGCAATCCCATCAGCGAGCTGCTGTGTCCTCATTCCTGTGTTTCCCTGGTGTCCGGCTGCTTTTGATCACTCTAACAAAAATGGATGGCATTCCTACAGTGCTTAGATTAGACTGTGTGATGAGGTACTGCACTGAGTTCAAGAGAAAATGATGTATGCCGCTGCTTGTGCATCCGCCTGTCTAATGGCAGGTAGGCATTTTAATCCTGGCCATGCTGCCACGTGCGCCTGCAGTTTCAAAACCTCAAACACAGATGTGTAGGCCTTTTTCAGACAGAGTTGTAAAGAATCTAGTTGACCACTTTATCAGCTGATTAACTATACAAATTTTTTGATGACTCATTAGTTAATATGTTAATTTTAGTTATTAGTTAATATATGAAAAACACAAATGCACTTAGATAAATTGTACGTCTTTACCTCAGATTGAACTAACTCAGTGACAATGCCAACATGCTAAGGTTAAAGGTCAAAGTGTTTATTTGTCATATGCACAGTTAGGAAACATGTTTCCCTGTACAATGAAATTCTTACTTCGCCGTCCACATGAATGCCACACAGTACAAGTGAAATATAAAGTAGATGAGCAATAACAAATCTAGGCAGTAACACAAATCTAAGGCACTTTAAAGCAACAAGTGAAAGAAGCACAATAAAAATACAACAAGAAAACAATATAATGTAGAAAGAATATATGCTACGTGGGAGCTGTGGAGTGCAAATATTCAGCAGTGAGTGTGCAACTATGCATGTCTAACATGTTAAGCAGGTATAATGTTTATCATGGTCACTATCTTAACGTGTAAATGTTTGCAAACTTGCACAAAGTACAACTGAGGGTGTTAACTTCATGACCAGAGGTCCCAGTGTTGTAGTCACAAAAGCTCAGTCTCTAGTGTTCAAATCAAGTCCAAGTCACCAAAGAATAGTCGAAGTCGCGTCCCCTTTAACCAAGTCCAAGTCACCAAGGTCAACTTTCTAGCAGCATATTGCATCACCATGCTCTGAGTCCAAACCTTAGGTATCAGTGCTCAAGTCCAGCTCGAGTCACAAGTCCTGAGTCAGATTTGAGTCCAAGTCAAAAGCTTTAACACTGAAAGGTTCTTAGGCTACAAAGTTAGTCATGATACATGTGATGGTAACTGAGCAAACTCAATCTGCTGAGGAAAACTGTGACATGTGCTCGAAAGGTTCATAAAAGGCTAGTAAGGGGGCTTGAATTAAACCTTTTTTTTTATCAATTTCTTATTTGTTCTTGCAGAGGTACGGTCAAAATCTGTTCTTACATCGTTATATGTTTCAGTTTTGCCATATTTGATGTTACATGTTAGACCTATATGGATTAGATATTACAGTCTGTTGTACCATGGCAGCTTGGCTTTGCTGTTAGACTAGGTCAAATTCCGGGTGAAAGAGAAGAGGATTTATATTTGCATATGCTGCTGTGTGATGAAGACAGAGAGCGCTTATGAGGCTAAAAGAAGAAAATGACAGCACAGCATGTTCCTCTTTTAAACTCCACCTCTTTTGTTCTAGATCCCGCAGATCAGCTATGCGTCAACAGCCCCAGAGTTGAGTGATGACAGACGCTATGACTTCTTCTCGCGGGTGGTTCCACCCGATTCATTCCAGGCCCAGGCCATGGTGGACATTATCCGTGCCCTGGGCTGGACGTACGTCTCCACCATTGCCTCTGAGGGCAGCTATGGAGAAAAAGGAGTGGAGGCCTTCACACAACTCTCGAAAGAAGCAGGTAACGAAATGTGATCAGATCTACAAATTATTATTATTATTTTATACCATTTTGTGTCATTTAAACAAACATTTGCATCTTTCACCCAAAGCTCCCTTTTGCATTTCCATTATAAGATAAAATAAGTTTTCAGTGGATGTATTTTTTTTTTTTTGGTTTGGCAACTTTAGTTTTAACTCCCCAGTGAGTTGTGGAGTGTTACTGGAAATGTAGACAGAAAAACATCACATAGGATAATTACTTAATCTGGCCAAGTATGTTACACACACAACAAATTTGTTTCCAATACAGAACCGAGGCCGCCATCTGCAGCGCCAACTCACACCGACAGCTCTATCACAGGCAACCTGGGGTTCGGTGTCTTGCCCAAAGACAGCTCCACATGTGGACTGCAGGCATCATGAATCGAACCTTTAACATTCGTCTTGAGAGACGACCATGCTAACCCCTGAACCACAGCTGCCCCCCCGCATGTCACACTAATGAGCACAGCCTGTATCCATGTTACTGTTTTTTTAAATGTAACCACTGAGCCTTTTTCTACATGCAAACTCAAAAGAGGAATCGTATGACATTTCCTAAAATTCTCTTTGGCCAGCAGAGAAGAGACAACAGTCAGGAAACTGGACATTTGTTTTACACTTTTCTCCTTCATTCAACCTCATTTTTATCCCTTGCTAGTGAGAGTGCAGGGCTCTGAGGACTGTACTGATGATCAGTCAGCTTTATGGCCAGTCAGTTCAAATCAGACCCAGGTGCATGTTTCTATTTTAGAAAAGAAGCCTCTTCTTTGGTGAAGGTCTGACATTTCCTCCCAGAAGCCACAGGCTTAAACAAAGAGAATTCTTGAACAGTTTAGAAAACAAGCTTTTGAAATCAATCTTGTTAACTGGGTCCTGTAATTTAACATTATTGGTCGTTGCTTACAGTATCAGTAATCCTTCAGGCTCAACAGTTAAGTTCTTTAGATTGGCTTTGGAGAAGTTAGAATAAGGATCTTGAAGAATTCTTACAGAAACTTGCTGTTATTTGTTTTTGCCCCAATTCTGATCCAGTTCCTTTAATATTAGGTATCTGCCGATACCAATCTGATACTTACATTTTCCTACAGTAAATGTTCATTAGATATCTCATATACACTGTGTTATTTAGGAACTTATTGATACAAATACTGGATGAGGCCCTGGTTCAAGTATAATAACACTGCATTAACAAAAGTTGACAGCTGTTGTAGCACCACTGAACCAAAGAATAAAACTTGATCCGCTCAAATACAGGACAGTAGAACTGCATAAAGATATACCCAGATCGGCACCGATGTCAAGCAAATTTCTACATCAGTTTGGATGACTGAAGAAGGTTTTTAATGCACAATAGTTCAGCATAGTGTTCAGAAACTGTAACATGTCCTATCTTTGGAAAAGAATCACTTTTAGAGCAATGTTATGTCCATGATCCAACAACTCAGAACAGCAGGACCATGTATTTTGCTGCTTCTCACCTCCACCTCTATGGATCACATTTCCTGTAATTCTGCAGAGAGTGATTGATTCTAATAGCCTAAAGTGTGGAAACCTCTAAAATGAGGAAGGGTAATGATATCCCACAGGCACCAATCAGAAGTCCAGCATACATGAATATTTTATGTTTGCATTCATGTCCATTGCGATCACTCATTAAAACTTTAAGAAGCGGTTTGTGTCTGCGTAATCTGCATCAGCAGG